ATTGATAAAACCCTAAACGACTGGATTGAAGATGAATCTATCAAAGCCTCATATGGTTTGAAAGCAAGAAATATAATAAATTATTACACAAAAATGGAAGGCAAACGAGAAACAAGTTGTCACTACCTCTTTTTGGATAGAAAAAAATTCTTTTTAAAACAACACTCATATTCTTAAAAGACACAACATGGCTATGCATGTTCCCTTAGACTCTCTATAAAAGATCCATCGTCTTTGGTGATGGGAACACAAAAGTATCAAATGCAAATGCTATGAAAACATGTTGATTCTCCGCACACACTTTCTTGTGTTTTACCACTTCACTTTAAGTGGCTTTTACGGTTGTTTATATTATAGTAAAACCTATATTCCTCAGTCCCACAAGGGGGAAACCCTAATAAAGTATGCATGTTTTCATCTTACCCACTCGTACACCATAACATCAGCTATCCTAAGTGAAAGCCTTATGTCTTGTGGGTTTGTCAAAATATATCAAACATGACATCCCTCACAAACTCATGCTTGTGTTTGAATCAGGGAAGCCCCCTACAATAAACGATGTGTTCCTCAAATGTATTTAAGAACACCTTATGAAAATTAGGGAAAACCACATCAACATTAAATAAGGTAATCATAAGGCGATATCTAGGGACAATATGATGCTTTACCTGTGATTTTTGTTGGCCTAATCCATCAACAGGAATAGCTAAAAGGAAAATTCTAAGCATGTGTTACTTGCAAACAACCAAAATTTATTTTTCACTCGTGATTTCATGTGTCGCTTGTGCAACAAAAGTAAGTTTTACAATTATTATGTCCATACATACTAGTGCGTAAAATCAAATAACATAAAAATAAATGTCAAAAAATAAAATAGGAATGTCGGTGTTAATAGTAAGAATGTTTACTAGACTTAAATTCCATCATTACGTATTTATCATGCACATCCATAGGTCAATAATATGTTGGCTATTTTACTTAGCTAGTAATATTACCACACATTTCTCTCATTCGTATATATTTTTGGTCTCAACGACGTGAGATCAGTGCATTACCCAATAGCCGATACATCAGACTATTAACAAACACAGAACATTAAGTTTCAATAATTATAAAGCAACAAGACTTCACACTAATAGATACTACAGTACTTATGGATATTGAACCTGACCCTATCTCTAGCCGCTAGTATCCAATAGATGATTATCTTGAATCTAGTAATGACAAGCACCTTTTGATCTCATGTCACACCATGAAAACATGTTTTAGGTAGCGAAACTAAAACAAATATTTAGATTAAAAAGTCATTAATATTAAAGCATGAGATGAATTACATAGAACGCCGTGACCTATATAGTACATGAATATAATGACTTATATCTAACCTTCCAATAAATGGATTTTAGCTACACTTTCTCATGGTATCATAACAATTAGTCTTTTCAGAGAAGTTGACCTTGAAAGTGTGTTTGCCCTATCACTTGAGCAGCGCTTCCGCCTTCAGGCTTCCCCTCTTGTTCTCGTATTGTAGATCAAAGTGAACTTACTCCAATTATGTACTACCTCAACCCACCGAATTAAACTCCCTTTGCAATAAACTGGAACTTGCTATTTATAGACAAAATTTTGGGGTTCTCGCTAGGCGTATCGTCCTTGCGCCTAGCACACCTACCCTGCTCTGCCAACTCTATCTATCACGTTTTTCTTTCTCTACAAGCTATGCTTACATGTCTGTTGTAACACCCCACTTTACCAAATTAAAATAAAATACGATTAAATCAAATAAATATCAGAGTTTCCCTACAACAGTGGGATGTCACATTCAACAAAATTCAACAAAAGATTTCATTAGATGATTTTCAAAAAATATACAGCGGAAACAATCATTAATACATCATGCTCGGCCATCCGCCAATTTACATAAAATATTCATTAAGAAGGTTTACCAAAACAAGATACGTCACAGGAACACAACAAATCCAATCACAATAAAATTAAACACCCAAGTCCCGTGTTACGTATCAGAGCATCCTAGGACTCGACTCGCACACCACTATCCAAGCTAGCTATGCACCTGGATCATCTGTACTTCCGAAGAAGCACATACCACAACAACAACAGATGGGATGAGAAAACATGATCAAAATTATCGGTAATAAAATACATAAATAAAAGAAAGTAAGTATACAAATCATCACCCCACCAATATCAAGCACGACCTACTGTCCAATCATCAACACAACATATAATAATGCAAGAATGAAACTCAACACCATGCATGCGGTATCGACTCACTGGTTCATTCAATCGAACCCTGAAATAGATCACTTACGCTCCTCCTGGCACATGATCTATCCCCACCATTCTCCACAAAGGAGTACGGGTGAATCACTTACGCTCCTACTGAGACATGATTCAACTCCACAATTCCCCACAAAGGAGTACGGATGGATCACTTACGCTCCTCCTGAGACATGATCCATCCCACCATTTTCCACAAAGGAGTACAGTTGAATCACTTATGCTCCTCCTGAGACATGATTCAACCCCACCATTCTCCACAAAGGAGTACGCATGGATCACTTACGCTCCTCCTGAGACATGATCCATCCCACCAAAACACAATGATATGCACGACACCAAATGCACAATAGACAAACTCAAGCACACTAAGTGCACATGATCCTCCTGATCACATCACTATACATCATACATACACACACACACACACACACACACACACACACACATATATATATATATATATATATATATATATATATATATATATATATATATATATATATATATATATATATATATATATATATATATATATATATATATATATATATATATATATATATATATATATATATATATATATATATATATATATATATATATATATATATATATATATATATATATATATATATATATATATATATATATATATATATATATATATATATATATATATATATATATATATATATATATATATATATATATATATATATATATATATATATATATATATATATATATATATATATATATATATATATATATATATATATATATATATATATATATAATTATGTCAATTAAATTCAATATTTCATAATTTCACCTTTCAACACCAAGTATACATTCTTCACCACTAAACACCATCTCTCTTCCTATCACAATCCAAGGAATCATACAAAACGAATCACAAAGCAAAACAGCACAAAATCACCTTTTGCTGTCATGCTCACTAGCCCACTCGCCTAGCGAGGCCTCAGCGAACGCTCGCTGCCTCATTTGCCTAGCGATCCTGCTAGCGAAGGCAGACAGTGGCTACTGGAAGTGTTCGCTACCCAACTCGCCTAGAGAATTTCTAGCGAATGCTTGCTACTAGCTCGCTCAGCGAAGGTGCTGGCGAACGTCTGCGATTTCACAAAACCCTCACTGTTTAGAAATCCATCAGAAGCTCAAAACCCATCCGATTCTCACCAAACCAGTCCCAACAGTCTTAGCCTAACATTCTACGACTAATCTACACGACTTATTCCAGATTTTACCCGATAAAACATCAACTCTACCGATTAAATCATTCCCGACCCAAAACGGTAAACTACGCAAAATTACCCAAACCATCCAAACCATTCTTATACAACCACATGCAAGAGGTTCACCATAACAGCAATGATCAGAAATACAACAAACATACTAATTATGCTCATCAAATCCCTATGGGGTTAAGGAATCCCCAACTACCCAATTCATGCAATTACCAATCCCAATCCGTTTCTCCCCCTTACCTCGACTAGCTGCTTCGATTGATGAAAAACTCCCAAGAATCTGACAGCCTTTGCCTTCTTCTTCTTCCTCTTGTTCTTCCTTCTCAACCTCTCTCTCCACTTGATCGTGTTCTTTCTTTCCTTTTTTTCTTCCCGAAAACTCACTAATACCCCTCTTAAATCCCTTATTCCTCATTTCTTTTATTCCAATAATAATAATACCAATAATAATAATAATAATAATAATAATAATAATAATAATAATAATATTACTATTAATTATCAAATTATTATCATTATCAATTATATTATATTAATATTAAAGGCTATAGTTTCTTACATAATCTCCACAAAGGACACGCCGAAATAAAATAACACCAGAAAGATTAAATAATTAAAATGGGTGTCACATTTGTCACGTGGCATTGACCTCCATTATGTTCTTAGCGCACCACCCATCGGACTAGTGTGCTAACCATTGCTTCACCATAAAGTACTTACATCTGGACATGTCATTTGTCCATTATGTTTCAAGTTTTTGTTCTGACTTATCTTTTGCGTGCTGAATTATGGTTTTATAGTCCTTTTTACCTGTTTTCAGTTAGTTAGTGCATACTAGAAAAATCCAAATATATTTTTTTTTACTTTTCATAGTTAAATTAAGAGTTTTTGTATTGATTGCTTATATCTGACACTTATCATCATGATAAATTTACTTTTATATCTTGAACATTTTTAGTAAAAAAAAAAATACACTCCTCAAAACATATTGAGTTTTAAGGAAAACACTATCTTTGTTAGTAAAACTACTAAAATCAAAATTTGAGATCACTATCTAAAACTCTGTCAAAATTAAAAACCATACCATATATCTCACTTTTTCTCTTAATATATCATCTTGTGACACTAAGATTGGGTCATATATTAAGTGTCATATACAAATCGGTTTAATATAGCAAGTCATATTCATTAATAAAGAAGAGAGCACGACTGACACATTTATGTTTTCTAAAAGATGGAACCAAGGTACACATTTTTTTCAATTGCTTAATACTATAATAATTTACAGTATTATATGTCTAAGATTTTAGTCTAACTGTGAAATTCCTTCATTCTTTTAGTTTTGTTTTTGAGTTTTAAGAATATCATTTACTCTCACAATTTTAAAATCTCTAACAACAAAATATATCAGTATACCAAAGCCCAACCCATTCAAATTCGTCCACAATTGTAACATGTTTCTTCACCCTGCATGACCAATTGAGCTTTATTACTATCGCTATTTTCATTTTTAGGAGCTGTCACAGGTAACTGATGTTGCTCTTGTAACGGATTCTCCTTCATAGGTGACTCTGTCATATGAATATCATCCCGGGCTTTCTGCTCTTTTGATTTTCCCCACACAACCAGATAAAGCCCAAGAACCACCACTATTGCTCCAATTATACTTCCAAGAAAGAGCTTCTCCGAAAGAATGATGCACGCCAAGGCCGTCACAATGATCATACGCAACGGATTAAAAGCAGTTACAATAACTGGACCCATAGCTTTCATAACCACCCCTTGTATATAATACTGCACTCCTGATGTAACTATCCCCTGTAATCACAAATCACAAAGAACACATTTACTTTTTTTATTGACTCAACTTTCTCTTATAAATCACAAAGAACACACTTAATGTCAATCGATCCTGACTTATAATACTAACCGCATATGCCGGGGCAAAGAGTCGTGAATCCCAACCAAGAGCCCAAGCATGAGAGTTGTGACGCTCAGCAAATATTGTCACCACAAAGCTTTGAAGTGCGCCAACGAAACAAACCCAGGTTGCCAGCGACATCGGTGCAGGGTACTTTCTCAACGTTATGGCCTGCAATATGTAAAAGGCGGAAAAGCCAGCACAACCGATGAGGAGGAAACATGTTCCTATGATCCATCTGTTACCGGAATCGTTCACAATCTCAGGCTGACTGGTAGCGTCACTAATAGACGACTTCACAACACTAACTACCGGACCTTTGTAAAGAGCCATTAACAATGTTCCTGCAAATGTTATTGCAGTACCAATCATTTTTGCTTGACATGCTACCTCCTTTATCTTCATGTGCTCCAATCTGCACAATACAATCAAGTAGTTAATTTACTAAAAACTATCATTCAAAAATAATTTAGAACTATGATGATATATATTCATTTAATTTGTTACTTTAAAATGACTGCAAACAGAAAAGTAATCGACGGCGCAGAGTTCATCACAGCAGAAAGGAAAGAAGCCGATGTTAATTTCATCCCCAACAGCGCAAAACACTGATCAAGAATTATTCTGTAAATGTAATAGAATATAGTTTAGTTAATTAAGTTCCTACAGAAAAATCAAGATTGAGATTCATATATTATAAAGTATTATCATTACTCGAAAAAAGCCAGTAACATAATCTCTGAAAATACCCGGAGACTCATCTTCGGCCTAATTTTCCTGAAAGAAAAAAAAAACATTTTCTTAGCACAACATAATTAAAACGTTTGATACTTATAATTAGTACTAATAATGAATGGATGAATGAAAGAGGTTGGAGAGACCTTTCTATATAAAATGCGAACGGAACTAATGTGACAGTGGCGAGAGCGTTACGGTAGACGATGAAAACGTAATGGCTCATTCCTTTCTTGATAGCATCCATGGCGAAAATGAACATTCCTGCCGAACCAAATTGAACTGCTAAGAGTAGTAGATATGGCTTTGCGTTTCTTAACCATGCACCCATTTTTGTGAAGCTATTTCTTAGTAAGCTTCTTGGGTGCTTAGCAAGTGATGTTGCTTATGATTATGGAAGTGATTTTGTACATTGATGCTGAAGACATTCTGAATATTTATAACCAAGGAATAGATTCAATATAATAATGAATTTAAAATAATTATAATTCAAATAAGAGTTTTCAATTTGCATGCTGACTCATAATCCAAATTGAGAGGGTAGTGAATTAGTTGTATGTTCGAATTTGGTATCTATGAATTTTTTTACCATTAATGATTATTTTAGTTTTCAGTGGCTGTGGCAAGTCAGTGTTGTTTTTAACTACAGTTTTTATTTTGTCTTTTTATTTCTTTTTACAAAATAATCTTGAATTTCAAAATTCTTTAGATATTTTTCTCTAACACTATGTTTTGTTTTAAAAAGAATTACATGCCAAATGTTTTGACAATTAACTTCCAAAATATGGTGTCATTGCTTCTAAATGTCAAAATGTTGTTTGTACCAAATGTCAAAACTTTTGTCAAATAACTTCTTCTAAAACAGATAATTCTAACACCGAAAGAATTTTAATAATTAAGAATTATTTGAAAACATTCATGAATAAAAATAAAAATATGACGATTGACATATTTAAATTTAATTAGTTTTTTCCATGACTAAATTTATAAAATAAAAAATTAAGGTATTTAAAGGTTTCGGTTGATAGTTCTTGTCGGTCACGTGTTTTTGAAAGCTTATTAATAATACTAACAAAGAAAAATACAAAGAAAACCGCTACCTATTTACATAGGTTTTTCGTTCATTTCGATTAGGATAACTATTGATTTCTTTTAAATGTTTCTTTTTTGTTAAAATTTAAATATTAATAATAAAAATAATAATAATGTTATTTGAATTTAATTGATATATAGTAATAATATAAAGTGTTTTTTATTTTGTCAAGTAATTACAAGTGTGAAATATTTAATTTTTATTTTTACTAATTAAAAAGTAATATTAACGAATGATTATGATGCATTAACAATATAAATATTTTTATACAGTCAATACATAACTATTAATGTCATATTTTTTTTTACAACTAAAAAGTAACGAATGTTAGATAGACTATCACATAAAATTCAAAATTTGTTAGAATAAATCCATAAACATAAAATATTATCATTGTTAAATCATGATTAAATAAATAAATAATTGAAGCTATATTTTATAAAGTTTTCAAAATTTTGAAATGATTTTTCTTGTAATATTATATCATGAAAGAAAAAAGAATATTTTGTTAAAAATTTAATTTTAAACCGGAAACTTATGTCATATAACTTATAAGTTAATAAATACTAGTTGAGTTACCTAGCACTTTTTTTTAAATATTTTAGTTGATTATATATATATATATATATATATATATATATATATATATATATATATATATATATATATATATATATATATATATATATATATATATATATATATATATATATATATATATATATATATATATATATATATATATATATATATATATATATATATATATATATATATATATATATATATATATATATATATATATATATATATATATATATATATATATATATATATATATATATATATATATTATTAAAATGTTATTTTTATGTGAGAATATAAAAATAAATCTAAGTTATTAGATTTTAAAATAAATAGTAAAGATTATTTGTGGTTTTTGTTTTTCTCTCCACTCAATTATTAAAATAAATAATGGAGAATAGAGAAAAAAATTGACACATAATTTTCATCATTTATTTTAAAATCTAATTATTCATATTCATTCTCATATTTTCAAATAAAAATGATATTCTCATATAATACGTTTCATATATATATATATATATATATATATATATATATATATATATATATATATATATATATATATATATATATATATATATATATATATATATATATATATATATATATATATACACACACACACACAATGCCAAAAATGATTTTTGGCAACCCAGAAAAGACAGCGTTTTCTGTAAAAGCGCTGCTAAAGAGTTAAAAAAAACAGGAAAAAATTTGTTGACTTTAGAAAACGCTGCTAAAAGGGGGTATTTATTACAAAAGAAAGCGCTTTATTAAAAGCGTTGCTAAAAAGGGGGCTATGAAAGCGCTTTTAAAAAGCGTTGTTAAAGGGGGTATACGAAAGCGCTTTGTGAAAGCGCAGCTAAAGGGGAGTATACGAAAGCGCTTTTGAAAAGCGCTGATATAGGTCCTGCCTAAGACAGACCTTAGAGTGCGCTTATTAGATGAATGTGCTGCTATAGGTGGGGGTTTCAGCAGCGCTTTTCAAAAGCGCTGCTATAGGTGTTAATTTTATAAATTTAATAAAACGAGCTTTTTTCATTTCAGAAACAGTATATAGAAAACAACGTTCTTTCTTTCTTTCCCTCTCACGAAAACCCCTTTCACCACTTCTTAAAAACCTCTCGCAACCATTCCACCATTTTCCCTCTGTCGACTGTCGTCCTCCCTCCGTCCATCCACCATCTTCTTTCTTTCTGTCGGCCATAGTACTCCCTCCGTTCGCCGCACTACCTCTGTCCGACCATTCCACCATTTTCAAGGTATTTTAGTCATTTTCTTCATTTTCATGGTTATGGATTGATGAGTTTTTTTGTTGTAGAAATATTGTATAAGTTTTTCAGGTTGAAATATTGTGGAAATGTTGTGATAAAAATAGTTGCTTTATTTGTTATGACAAAATATTGTGAAAATAGTTGCTTTATTTGTTAAACAGAACACTGCCTTTATAATATAGATGTTGATTTATAAGAGTTTGAGATGTTCTTTATTTGCAAAGTATTGGATTCATGGACAACATTACTAGAGATTTGGAAGACTTGTTTATCTTGCTTTTAAAAATCTAGAATACTTTTTATTGAAATTCTCATGAATCTTGTTGTTGTATTTGTTGTTATTGAAATGCTCATCTTTGGTTTTGGAAGGTCCCTATATGAGGTATTCTTCCATTTTAATTTCTGTTTTATTATAGGGTCTTTAAAATTATATTTTACCACTACTAAATTGAATAACAGGTTTAATGATTGTCCAAAATAAATGGAAACTTCATACATCCTATAATCCAAATATATCATTTTGTGACGTTGTTAAATATGATTCCAAATGTTGTTGTTGATGTTGTTAATGTTGATATTGATGTTGTTGATGAAAATATGAATTAATTTTGTATGTTAATTTGTTATAGGGGTTACTTGTGAAGATTATGATCGTTTCCAAGAATCTTACTGTTTAGTTCTAGAAGTTAGTGATTTCTCTACAAGTGCTACAGGTATTTGCTGTTTTTGTTTAGCTTACTTAGTTTAGTTGCTTCACACCAAATGTATCATTTTCTGACGTTGTTAAATGTGATTCCAAATGTTGTTGTTGATGTTGTTAATGTTGATGTTGATGTTTTTGATGAAAACATGAATTAATTTTTTATGTTAATTTGTTATAGGGGTTACTTGTGAAGATTGTGATCGTTTCCAAGAATCTTACTGTGTAGTTCTAGAAGTTGGTGATTTCTCTACAAGTGCTACAGGTATTCGCTGTTTTTGTTTAGCTTACTTAGTTTAGTTTAGCCTACTTAATTAGTATGGATAAAAAATGGATGTCTTCCAATCGATTGTCAAACGAGTACAAGAATGGGGTATCAAAATTTGTTAAGTTTGCTATTGAACACGCCAAAGACCCCAGTAGGATCACATGTCCTTGCTTAGGTTGTTGTTATGAGCGTCAAATTGACGCGGTTTAGTTGGAATCTCATTTAAAGAGACATGGAATTGATCGAAGTTATACATGTTGGACATTACATGGTGAGATAAGTAACGAGAATGTTGAACCGGAGGATAATACGACATATGCTTCAAATGACAATGGCAGAGATACATATGATTGTGATCGAGTCGAAGAGATTGCAGAAGCACTTGAAGAAGATCTTCAGAATTGTCCCAAGATGTTTGAGAGGTTGGTAAGCGATGCAGATAAACCGTTGTATAAAGGTTGCACTATTTTTACAAGATTGTCTGCGGTATTAAAGTTGTACAACTTAAAGGCGGGTAATGGATGGTCGGATAAAAGTTTCACAGAGTTATTAGCCCTTATGAAAGAGATGCTTCCGGAGGATAATGTTCTTCCCAATCGAACCTATGAAGCTAAAAAAATGTTATGCTCTGTTGGCATGAGCTATGATAAGATACATGCTTGTCCAAATGATTGCATTTTGTTTCGAAATGAATATGCATCATTAAACAAGTGTCCTAAATGCGGTGTATCTCGGTATAAGAAAAAGTTGTCACCAGCAAAAGTCTTATGGTATTTTCCTATAATTCCGAGATTTAGACGCATGTTTCATAGTGAAACAGATGCAAAACACTTGACTTGACATGCAAATGATAGAATTATAGATGGGAAGTATCGACATCTGGCAGATTCACCACAGTGGATGAAAATTGATAATGAGTATCCTGATTTTGGAGAAGAAGCTGGAAACCTTCGCTTGACATTATCAACTGATGGAATGAATCTGCATGGTCTACAAAGCATCTCACATTCCACATGGCATGTAATTATATGATTTATAACCTACCTCCATGGTTATGTATGAAGCGTAAGTATATGATGTTATCTATGTTAATTTCTGGTCCTAAACAACCAGGGAATGACATAGACGTATACTTGACACCTTTAATCGAAGACTTAAAGAGTTTGTGGGAGAACGGTGTGGAGGTTTATGATGGATATAGGAAAGAAAGTTTCAATTTGAGGGCGATGTTGTTTGGCACAATTAATGATTTTCCGGCATACGGAAATCTATCGGGGTATAGCATTAAAGGTCAATGTGTGTGTCCTATCTGTGAAGAAAACACAGATTGGACGCGATTGGAATTTGGTCAAAAGAATGTCTTTCTTGGTCATCGTAGATTCTTAAATTCTAGTCATCACTATCGTGG